TCCAATAAAAATGAGGTCAGTTCGCTGGATGATATGCTGATGGAAGTTGACTGGGGGCCTCCTCTGCGTTTTAATGGCCAGGCGAGTTCCCCAGAAGGGAGACTTACAGTCAATGGCACTGGAGCAGTGTCTGGCCGGAGCTGAAACACCAGCAGACCGGAGGTCGCAGCTGGAGCGAACCAATCCCCACGTACCAAACAGCAGATAACAGGTAACCAGGCACACCTGCCTGCGTGCTGGTACGCCAGAGAGAGAGAGCGAGCCGGAGAGAGAGCGCGGCAGGGGCCGAGGCTGCAGGGACATGACACAAACTGCACACAGAAAGGACCCGACTGACCAGCTGATTCAAACCGAGGACTTTCTTTTATTATGCTGTTGTTTAAATGGTTCCTACATCCTTTAACCCTTTATTAGTTTTGACTGAAGAGTATGATTTGAACATGTTTTTAGTTATGGTATTGAATTTTTTGTTGTACAAATTTCCTTTGATAATGGTCAATGAGGAGGGAGCACTATTTCTCAGTCTTTTTTTTTTCTTCCTTTTTTTACTTGTGATCTTGGCAGTAATAAAGATGTACTTGGAATGTTTATTTAAGTTAATAAGGAATTTGATAAAAAAAACAAACACAAATCAAAAGATACTCAATAGAAAGTGATTATTTTTATGTGGTCATGCATACATGTCCATATATCACGTGCAATATTTCAATGTAATGTTTAATAATACATCATAACTTTAGTATAATTGCCACTATTCTGTCTTACTTTCTATTCTAGTGGTCATTCAGGTTTAATGCTTTCTTACGTATTGTACGCTTATCTTATTGCTACTCTATTCTCATGTTTTTTGATGTTTTTTCTGGCATAAGAATGATAAAGTTCTGTCTTTTCTTATATATTGTAATCTTGAGAAGTTACAACAAGGCACAGATTTATAAAGTTTTACCCCACACTACAGTAAACAAACTGTATTTCCCCCCTCTGTTCCTTGCATATATAAATATATGTATATGAAAGGTCACAACTTGTGGACTGCAACCAATTCCCTCATCCCAAACATATGAATCCCTAAAAAGAAGATGCACCCCATTTTCTATAGAGGGTGCTAGAGATTTAAAAGTGAGTATCCATAGTTTTGAAGGCAGAGGGTGACAACATAAGAGAAGATAAGGAAGAGCACAACGTTTTTTTCCCCTTTTAAAATATATAGTTTCTTTAAGTGTTCCTCTGCGCTGCCAGGTAATCTGATAATGCCCAGCTGCAGCGGTAATAAAGCTGTAAATGTAGACAGGCTGGCTCAGCCTAAATGGCAGTAAACGGCCGTTTGTGCCATCACGTGGATCTGTTTACGTCCAGAGTCATTTCCGGAAAGGGATGATTGACAGGTGCTCCATCCAATCAGAGGCCGGGAGCAGAGCGGCGGAAGTTTGCGCTCTCACATGAAACAAGAAGCTAACGGATTAAACAGTAACGTTTATGATCACGCTCCCTGACCCAGCGTTCAAACGGAATGAAGTGCGTCCGAAATCATCACTGTTATTCGTGTTCTCTCATACGATGCTTAGCAAAGGAGGGCAATGTCGCTGTCATCTTCTAAATCTGCGGACGAGATAAACCTGCGAGCGGACATAGAGGTAAACACCCAGGAGGCGCGGGCTAGCTACCTAAGCTAGCCCCGTGCTAACTCTCGCACAGGACGCTGTGTGTCTTTAGCTTGCCGCACACCTTTGAGGCTGTCCACGCTGATTTATTTATGTGTAAGCTGCATCTTCGAACATGTCTCTGTTTAAAAGTGTGTGACATTATCGCTGCCGCCGTTATATTGCAAAAAACTGTCTGGTGTGTATACCCCAATGTTAGTCGTGTAATTTGGGGGTGAGTTTTCTGACATATCCTCGGTATTGTGTGTTTTCTCATTTGCAGTTTTACCTTCGGTCACACGTACGTATGCATTTAGCCATCCTAATATGATCTCATGGTTTTCTTCAACAAAACATGATTGCTGTCATTTGACCCTCAGTCATCATCATGTTGCTGCTTTCGCTTCCCTTTTGGATTTGTTGTGATCTCAGACTGCTGTGCTGTAATGTCTCATCATGTCCAGCCACATAGTTATCTCGTGCACAAATGCATTTTAGGCATCTAAATCACAACTGTAGACGGCTGTTTTCATCAAGAATAGCAACACCCCGGTTGTTATTTGTGGAACATACTTGAAGCATGTTTGTGATCATTTAAAACTGTACGTTGAAATGCTGTATGACACTAACAGGTAATGAAAATACACTTGATGGCTGGGCAATGTGATGTCATAAATAGATGTATAAATGTATGTATGTGTTGGATGTCTACACCACAGATCTCCCTTTTAATATTGTAGTTCACTGACAGTTTCAAGGGTCCCAGATTGTGCCCCCTTTTTAGCAAAGTCATGAAATTCTCACATGTCTCCAGGATATATCTTATCTCGTTCAAAATACTTGAAAGATGGTGCATTTTACTGTGATGGTGTAACCCCTGGTTTGAGTCCTGTAGTAATGGGCTGTTTTAGTGTCTGTAGCTGCACCTTTATTCAGGAAGAAGACTCTCTGTGTCTGTGACTGACAACGCTGAGTAATGCTGGTAAAAGCATGGCAGTGGTAAGCGAGTCTGAGAGTAGGATTTTACATGGAGTTCACAGCAGTTGTTTTCAGCTTGTCTATGGTGAGCTTGTCAGTGTTGCAGTTAATAACAATAATGTTTTGGTGAATGGTTTTGAACTGACCACAGTTCACATGTAGTCTGTGTTTCAGTCGCTGTTTGATAATCATTATGTTGTCTGACAACAGAAATAGAAAATTATGCAAATGGGAACAACTTCAGGACTGAAGCAGAAAGACCCTAGTGGAGCTGAGGGTGCACTGAAGCATATCAGGCCAGTGTTGTATGACAGAAGCTTCTGAATTAGATTTCTAGAAAAAATATTTCTCATGATACCCATCCATCATCTATCTATACACGGCTTAGTCTGCACTAGGGTCACAGGGGGTTGGAGTCTATTCCAGCTGACTCAGGGTGAAGGCAGGGGACACCATGGACAGGTCACCAGCCTATCACAGGGCGACACTTAGAGACAGACAACCAAACATACTCATATTCACACCTACAGACAATTTAGAATCACCAATTAACCTCAACATGTTTTTGGACTGTGGGAGGAAGCTGGAGAACCCACGCTGTACGGGGAGAACATGCAAACTCCAAAGAAAGATCCTAGGTGTCCTCACTGGGACGTGGACCGGTGACCTTCTTGCTGCGAGGCAACAGTGCTAACCACCGCTCCAGCTTGCAGCCCCTCTCATGATGCCATTGTTGCAATTTAAACTATTGTGTGCTGTGAATGTCTTATCCATTTCGCCTTGTAGTGTGATCTTTATTGTCTCTCAGTGATCGGTGATTATCTGACAAATTTTGCAACAAGGAATCTTAATATTATGTAGATGCTTAAACACAGCAGTTATAAGTGAGTGCAGATGCTATTGAAGCTGTTTTTACTTTCCCCATATGCTCCAACCATTTAAATTTTACTTTTGTCAGCTAGACACGTGGTACCATTGCAATGGAAAATAATATCAGCCAAAATGACAATGAAAACAAGCTGTTGTTGGATTATAGATAAAATATAACAAAAAGTTAATGACAGCGTGCTGTCCCTTCTTTCTCACACCCATAATTTGTTAGCAAACTCTTCTTATTTTCTTTCAAATGCACACAATAAACCAAGATCATGCAATCTTCGAATACTGCCTCCCCCACTTGACAGCGACGCAGTTTACTTGCCTAGAATTTGGCAAGTGTTTAGCTGTTGATTTCTCCTGACCAGATCACATGCTGCCCTCTGCTTTGTGAGCTTGAACTCCTCATGCTGGGATGTTTGGTCTGCAGCTCAGTGAGGTCTGTATGAAGCAACTGGGCAGTAAGAACACAAAGCCTCACAGAGGCTAGCAGAAAGACAGTCCCGTCGCTATGTGCTCCATGGGAAAAAGTTGCAAATTGAATAGAGTAGAATATCCTTTATTAGTCCCACAAGGGGAAATTTGCAACGTCACAGCAGCAAAGTGACAGTAAGAAAAGCAAGCAAACACAACTATAACTTAAAGAGGTGAGGTGTATACACTATATATACAATACAAAAAGATAAACAGAAGAACACTAACTTCTGCTCATTCCTTTTCTTTGTTCTTTTCCCCACTGTGTGCACTTTTTGCAGGAGATTTAAACCAAGAGAAATGCAGCGTACATGAGAAATAAATGAACATATGGAGTAACTACATTCTCAGCTAGTCTATATTATCATTAAATAGCAGTAAGTGTGGGGAGGTGGTATCATCGACGCTTGATGTGTTCATGACAACCAACATTATAATCTCATCCTTCCTGATTTGTAGCTCACCTTGACTCCAGGTTTCTCTGTGGAACAAACAATCAAACAGAAGCTTTTCTCTAAAACGTCACTTGAGATTCCTAAAAGAATGTGTTCAAGTTGACCTTGTGCTTTTTTTTGCTGTTTGTGTGCAGCCTCCTCCAGTGACAAGTATTTTAAACTCGCTCGCAGCAGGTCAACAACAATGTGCTCCTCGCGCTGTGTGTGTTTACATTAAAACAGTTTAATTGCAGTTTTTAGGTTCTGTGAAAGACGGCGTAAAGCTACTTAATTACACAAACGCTGGTGTTGTTTTCCAGGTGTGACGACAACGGTCGGACGGTGCACAGAAGCTCCCCTACAGGCGGCTGTGCGTGGACATTTTGCGTGTGTTTATGGTGTTGTATGCGTACGAGTGAGTGGCACAGCAGCTGGGGGTTGTAACGTGATGCCAAGATGCTGCTGTCCCTGGGAATGCTGATGCTGTCGGCCACACAGATCTACACCATCTTCACCGTTCAACTGTTCGCCTTCCTCAACCTGCTGCCCGTGGAGGCTGATATTGCTGCTGTGAGTGATTCTTGACACAAATGCACATATAAATATAGATGGAAACCAGTTACAATAATATAACCGTGCACCACCCCAATGATAGAAATCTTCAATAGGATGTCCGTGTTAGAAACTTTCCAGGTTAGAAATAATGTGATAGGTAAAGCTCAGAAACTCCTGTTTGTCTCTTTGTGTATTAGAGAACCACCAGTAATTCAATTTTCCCATCTTTCAGTACTCATTTGACAACAAAACGGAGAATTTTGATGACCTGCCTGCACGCTTTGGCTACCGGCTCCCAAGTGATGGACTGAAAGTGAGTGCTATGGGGTCATGGGTTGTTTTTATGATTTCTGGGTTGGTTGTTTGCTGAGATGTTTTCACTTTACAGCTTCAAAGAATTAAAGTTTAACCATGTAAATGATTATATTATATTATATTATATTACTGAATTTTTTGTTTTTTTTCGAGGAAAATACTGTATATGTTATACTCATATCAGAAATAGAAAAATACAAACATGTTGTTATACATTTATAAGCAGAACAAAATTAATAATTCATTTAAGTATGCAAATAGTGCATTTTATATATACAGCAGGAGCTATGTTTTAAATATTCCTTATCTTTTATAATGCTGTTGAAGCACTTTTAACACAAGTGAGTCTGTTCAAATTGTCAAAATCATTTTGCACTGAGACTGACTGTGTGAAAACTTAACCACACATGGCGAATCAGCGTCAAAATACAAGCACTCTCTGGATGAACTTCAATGAAGCTCCATTAGAGTTTAATCGTATGGAACAGCTCACAAACATTGCTGCTCTGTGTTGGCGATAACGTGTGTTGTTGTGACGTTTGTGTATGCCACCCCGGACCCGGCAGCCTGCACACTGGTTGATCCACAAAGCTCATAGAAGGGATGATTCATGTCTGCTATCTAAGCTGGTCATTGTGGTGTTTCCCACAGCAAAGAGCTCCCTTGTTGTTGTTGTACAAAGGCACGCAGAAGCAAACTGATCGCAAAATGCTTTGTGCCTTGTTTTGTGTTTGTGTTTATGTGTGAACGAAGCGCTGCGTTTATGGACATTTATACTTTCTGACACTTGTCTCAGTTTGAAGGTGCCATATTTAGCATCACTTCACCGCCGTGACAGGCTCACATCATCGTTTTGGTATTGTCACATGAGTCGTGACACCGTGGTGTGTTACAGGGCTTAAGGTTGAGATGACTTGTAGCATCACGTCATGAAGTTTGGAGGCTGTAAAGATGAAAACAAGTTTTTCTATTTTCCCATTTGCTGCTGCCTATTTTACTCCAAAAGCACAATTACAGGTTTCTGCTGGCCATCCATCGTGGTGTTAATTTTTACTTTCTGACACATTAAAAAAAAAACATAAACAAAAAAACCCCCCTTCAAGCCATGATCTCAGACTGGGATCCCACTTGGAGACAGTTGGCTCAGGGTGTCCCAGCTATAGAATGTGTATCAGAATAGATGTAGAACATGTTAGAGCTGCTCGTATATATTCTTTAATCAGCTTTATGATATGTTTGTTGATATGGCTCACCACAAAGGTAGATATCTGCTCCATCGAGGCAAACAGCCCGGGTTATCTCACACATACTGCTCTGTGTATGTGTGCAAGAACATTATGTAAGATTTTGTGTTGTGGAAGCTGAGAAAGGCCTACTCTCTGTCCCCAGCTCTGTCTTAAATTCATCTCATCTTTGCATCTGATTTGTTTTTTGTCTTCTTTTGCCTCTGCTCTCCCGGCTGTTGTCCAGCCGGGACAGAGACACTGAGCGCCATGCAGACATGAAGTCTGGTCCCCGAGGGCTCCCAGACCGACCCTCCCATTTGCTGCCTCTGTCTGGGTCTGTCTTGTTGAGTTTAGCAGCGAGCTCGTTCACACGGATGCTGTGATTTACAGCTGCACTAACATTACCACAGATAAAGACGGAAGTACAAGAGGAATTCTCATTTCTCTTTAGTTTAGCCACTGAAGTTTTGTTTGGTTGGGAGGTCGTGGGCCAGTAATGGTGAGGTTTTTTCCCCCACAACATCCTTTAATGCACCTGCAATGCACTTTTGCATTATTGTAAATCCATTGTTATACATGACTAACCTATTTTCACGTCGTGTTGCTAAGTAATAGCAGCAAAGCAGTAAAGAAGGGAGCACATCTTGCAACATCTCATGACATGCAGCCTGCAGCGATTTCTTTTTTTTCCCTGCTTAAAAGCGAAAATGATTTGTTAATATGTAGTGTATTCACTTGCGTTGTTTATTGAAGATTTATTTTTAAGTCAAGCATAACAGCACTGAAGCTGTAATACACCTAGAAAACCTCTGGCATCACATGTCAGCACAAGCCCGTCTGCCTCTGGAGGATTCCCCACAGGGAAGGCGGCTTCAAACAGAGCCTTTTACTGTTTCCAGTTGCACAACCCGGGCTGTTTACAGTCTCCGAGACTCAAAGCGAGGCCACTGTGTGCTGTGTACCCACGCTATACCCGAGTCAGTTCTCACATGTGCGTTTGTTCGATATTAGAGATCAAGGTGGAGTTAATGTACATCGTAACGTAGTTTGCCGGTATGAAAGCTACACCGCGTGTCTTGGATTTGAAGTTAAAGAGGAGGTTTTACGTGGTGCGTTCCAGTTAATATGTGAATGAATGGGATGGATGTTGCAAAAAAAAAAGTTTCTTGATAAACAACTGGAAAGGAAGACTGAAACTGAAAATATCTGCATTTGTACAGTGGGTGAACAAAAAGTTCAGAGATTGTGGCTGTTCAATCCAAACACAGTAAATAATTTAAATGTAGCTACCATCCCTGCTGACGTAGTGTCCTTGTGCAGCAATGTACCGCTCCCAGGGCTCCTGCGACGCTTGTGATGCTCACCGGAAATCCCGTTATGTAAATATGTCAAGTTACCGTCTACAGTGAGCGCACATCCTCCCAACTTGTGTCAAAATGGCGACCCTTTAACTTGAGTTTCATTTTGGGGGGGAAGAAGCCTCTGGGCATTTGTTTTCTCTCTAAAATCAAGTGTAGTGAATACAGTCGTGACTCGATAATCCGACACTAAATGTGAAACCTTTTATGTCGGATAGCAAGGCTGTCGGATTGTCAAGACGGAGGTCGAGATACAAGGAGGGCTTGATGCTTGACGGGTCATTTGTTGTTAATATTTGTTGTTTATAAATGTTATAATGACTAGTGTATTGTTAGAACACGACGCATTGCTGGATTTCACGTCTAATTGATCAGTGCGAATGTGCACGGGCCCGTCAGTTGACATCAAAGGTAAATACGTTCAGACAGCAGGCTGAAGTGACCCAAATCCGATTTTTGTTTCTCCTATGTGACCTGTATCTGGTCTTTTCATTACAGTCTGAACAACTCAGATCCAATTAATGATGAATCTTTGAATATTAGGCGCGGTCAGGGGAGACCACTTCCACCCCAGGGGAGCGCTCTGACGGGGTGAAAGTGGCCGGAACGCACAGGCAGTACTTGGCTGCTGATGCCATTTTAGTTAGTGGCAGATACGCTCCACCGTTACCATCCATGTTTACTTCCATAAACACTGAGCACGCTCGCTGCGTGTGACATCGTCGTGTCGTCGTGTCGTCGTGTCGTCGTTCTGCGCATGTGGGACACTTTTGGGTCATATGAAGTTCACATACAAGATGTATTTAATTGGAAATGTGAACGAACTCACAAAAAAATGGGATTTCACAAAAAAAAAAAATCCGAATTGAGCATTAAGTCCTGCAGTCTGAACGTATTTTGAAGGACAAATATACAAATGAGGTCCAGCCGACACACTGAAGACAAGGCGCAGCACTGTAACATTTTATTTAGACATTTATTATGTTAGAAATGAGCCAAGAAACAATACCCAACTTGAAATAACTCTCTTCCCGTTTCTCAGTAAAGTTCTTGGCATCTCTCTCAGGTTTCAGGCTTTTATTTCTTTCTTTTTCTCCGTTTTTGTGCTCACTTTCATTTCCACAATTATAGGTTAATCTGTAGACACGGTCTGAAAAGAGATGCTTGCATTTCCTTTGGAAAGTCTCTGTGGTTTGGATAATGCAACAGCAGAGAACCAGTGGTAAAGTCTCTGACGCTGGTATAGAGCTCATATTCTGTTCATTTAGAGGTTCATCATTTTATTTTTGGGGTCTTCTAGAATATGTTTACATGCTTTCATGTTCAAAAAACACTTTATTTTGCTCACGGTTTGTGTGTCTTTCTGAAAATTCCCAGTTTTAGCTCCTGTCTCTTTAAGCCTTCAAATTGTATGAAATGCCACCAAACAAAGCAGAGCTGGTGTTTTTAGCTCATATGTTTGGTGAGTTGGGACAACATTGCTGTGATGAAATCAAGATTTTAGCTGGTCACACCACATGTCTCTTTTGTCTTTGGTAATGTATACCTTAAACCGAGTCAGACTTCGCTGCCACTGTCCAAAGCTGTAGCAGTGACTGAAGTCGAAATGACTGACTTCATGTCGTGATACCGAAGAAAAACATTTGTCGTAATGAAGTGAAGTTTAAGAAAAACATGCATCGATTAGAAATATTGATGTCGATGCACTTTCAGCATCGACATCATCAGTTCTGCCGACTCATCATGGCGACTGTGCTCTAATTAAACAGCTGGCTCCAGAAAGTGAGACGGTATGGCTTGTGTAGGGTTATGTATGAGTGCAGGCAGAGAGATGTAGCCCTGATAGAAGTAGTTCTAGTGAGGAACTAATGTTGAACCGCGAGGTAGCTATTTATTGTTTGTTTGATGGCCAAACTAGCCACAAAGCTGGCATTTCGCAAATGTGTTGCGTAAAAAAGTAAGAGAGGACTTGAAACGAGGAATTTGAGGCAGGTAAGGAGAAGTGCCCTCTGTGGGGGGAGGGGGGGGCAATAGATCAGTCTGGCTTTGACTTTTGGGTTTTGTAAGCTTGCAAGCGTTTTACGTGCTCAAACAAAGCTTAATGACACATTAAAGTAAAGGTGAAAACCTCCAAAAAGGCACAATATCTTTAAATATGTCAATATAAAACTACATATTTTAACTTGAAACATAAAAACCCAATTTCTTTCACAATGCTTGTAAAAAAAAATAAGGGTTGAAGAGCCATTCCAACCTCATCTTTACATCTGCTGTCAGCATAATTCTGGTGACTGCTAATTTTACTGTTGTTGACGCAGCAGAATGAATTAGTTCCTATCATTGCACAACCCTCTCAATCCTCCCATGTCTTGAGGTTCTCTTGTTGACTATTTTTAAAAACAGGGAACTGAAGA